TCAGGTAGCATGAAGCCTCCAGCTTTGTTCTTTTTGCTTAGGATTGTCTTGGCTATGTGGGCTCTCTTTTGTTTCCATATGAAGTTTAAGGTGATTTTTTTCCAGTGATGTGAAGAAGGTCAATGGTAGCTTGATGAGGATAGCTTTGAATCTATAAATTACTTTGGGCAGTACGGCCATTTTCACGATATTGATTCTTCCTAACCATGAGCATGGAATGTTTTTCCATCTGTTTGTGTCCTCTCTTATTTCCTTGAGCAGTGGTTTGTAGTTCTCCTTGAAGAGGTCCTTCATGTCCTTTGTTAGTTGTATTTCTAGGTATTTTATTCTTTTGTAGCAATTGTGAATGGGAGTTCACTCATGACTTGGCTCTCTGTTTGTCTGTTATTGGTGTATAGCAATGCTTGTGATTTCTGCACATTGATTTTGTATCCTGAGACTTTGCTGAAGTTGCTTATCAGCTTAAGGAGATTTTGGGCTGAGACGATGGGGTCTTCTAAATATACAATCATATCGTCTGCAAATAGAGACAATTTGACTTCTTCTTTTCTTAATTGAATATCCTTTATTTCTTTTTCTTGCCTGATTGCTCTGGCTAGAACTCCCAATACTATATTGAATAGGAATGGTGAGAGAGGGCACCCTTGTCTAGTGCCAGTTTTCAAGGGGAATGCTTCCAATTTTTGCCCATTCAGTATGATATTGGCTGTGGGTTTGTCGTAAAATAGCTTTTATTATTTTGAGGTATATTCCATCGACGAACACTTTTACAATTGGTGGGAATGTAAATTAGTTCATTTCATTTTTATATTAAAAATATTTTCTCAGGCTGGGTGCTGTGGCTCACGCCTGTAATCCCAGCACTTTGGGAGGCTGAGGTGGGCGGATCATGAGATCAGGAGATCGAGACCATCCTGGTTAACATGGTGAAACCCCATCTGTACTAAAAATACAAAAAAAAAAAAATTAGCCATGGTTGATGTCATGAACCTGTAATCTCACCTAGTCAGGAGGCTGAGGCAGGAAAATCGCTTAAACCCAGGAGGTGGAGGTTGCATTGAGCTGAGATTGTGCCACTGCACTCCAGCCTGGGAGGCAGAGGAAGACTCCATCTCAAAAACAAAAAAAAAATTCTCAAACCCAATTCCATAAAGTCATTCATGATTAAAACATAACATTTTGCTGAAAATTTTACATCAAAAATTATCCTTTGTTTTAATTTCTTACCCTTGGGAAACCCTGGAGTAGGTTTATGATGCTTTATAAAATCAAATCAGAAGAATGAATATTCATTAAGCAAATATGATGTGCCAGGCTTTGCCTTAAGTCCTACAGATTGAACAAAGAACGGTCCTGTTTCTTAAAATCTAGTAAAGAAAAATTTTAAGAACTGAAAGTTACAATAATATCCTGAGATAAAAGTAATACTTTAACAATGGAAAAGGACGTACAAGTCCAAGTATGAATACAAGTCAGACATTAAAATTCCTTTGGGAATCAGTAGTACATCAACTATTTGACCAAAGCACAAGGTATGTGAAAATGGTAGGGCAGAAAGTCTGGAGAGATAAATTGGTTTAAAATTAGGAGCCTTAGATGCCAGGCTAAGGTCTTATAATTTGATTTTGTAGGGAACCCTTGAACATTTTTAATTCTAATCTTAAGTGAAGAAGTGGCAAAATCAGAGCAGCATGTTGTGGAAATGACACTTTCAGCTGTGTGCAGACTGGACAGAGAAACTACAGATAATACTGAGATGGAGGGAAAGGTTACTTCCATTTTTCAGATGGCTTAGGTCATTGTATGGACACAAGATAGACTCCCCCTCCTCCAAAAAATTTAGTTCCCATGTCTAGACTGATGATGTCTCATACACACACACACTCACACACACACACAGAGACACACGTATGAAAAGACTCACCACTTTCATGATGAGGCTTTCTAGGGAAATCATTGCAAACACCCAAGAAGGTCCAAAAATGGATTAAGAGATCAGGGAAAGGTCACTGGCTTGGAGCTTTATGACAATTAGGGGACAGGGCTGGGGTGAGGGTTCCCTCATATGTGCTGGGGCTTTGAACTTTCTCCCATGGGTGCCAAGGGAGGGAGCATCCAGGCTTTTTTTTTTTTTTTTTTAATCAGCTTACCAATATATGGGACAGAAGGAAAAGGGGAATGATGTATATTGAAAGCTATCAACAATCAAACATCAAAAGGGGATCTAGGTGCTTTATTACACAAATACAGGCTGGTAAGAGTGCTCTCATGCCAACTCAGGGAGCTACATTAATATTATGAATAAGTTATAAGCCTCTATCTGCTAGAACCTGCTCTGTGGGAGAAAGCTCTCTAGAAAAAGGGATTTTCCTGAACATGGGGACGTATAACATTTAATTTGTAGGCCCACTGAGGATTTTTGGAATGTCAAAGAGGTAGTCTCTAAGGCTTTGAAATAAATATCCCAGCAACTCTTGACCTTTTGTTCACTGCATTTCCCTTCATAAAAATTCTAATATATTGCTTATGTTTGGAGGAAAGCATTTTTTAAAAGATGCAAAGCTAGATGGAGATTGTTTGCATCTAGGACCAGAGTTGTAATTTTTTTTGTTTTCAATCAACCCATCAGTTTCGTTTTGAGACTGTGTTACATATTCTCAGTTTATGTGTGTAGGGAGAATCATCTAGAGGATTTGTTTAAAATGCCTATTCTTGTCCTCAACCCCAGGGACTCTGGATAAGAATTCTTGGGCAGTACTCAGGAATGTGCATTATGACAGGTGTTTCTGATGCAGGAGATTATATGCCTCACTTGAGCAATGTTGCTCAACCACGTACTCAGCACTGCACCAGATACTGTAAAAGCTGCACGCAAAGTCTAGCACGATTTACAGGCAACAAGAAGTGGACTGCTTTGCTGTCTTTTTCCCTATTTAACCAGTCTTTTAGCTTCTGCACCTATAAATAGTATGAAAGCAAATATTAAAGCCAAGACTACAGTTCTGTTTAGTTACCACTCAGAATTTAGCAGTGCCTAAATGCTTGCTTCAAGAAAGGTGTTTATATACTTTTTTCTAATTTAAATTTCACAAAGCCAAATTATTAACACGTTAAAGTGCAGAAAATTGAGGCTTGGAAAAATTAAGTGACTTCCTTAAAAAATACAGCCATGAACTGGGAAAGCCTGGTTTCAAACCCATTTTTGTCTAAATCAAACTTGTGTTATTAACCATGACACTCTGTTTACTGCCAGGAGTCTGGTGTTAGTTTTCTAGTCTCACTCGAGTGATGATTGAGATCCCATGGCACTCAGAATGGGGGAAAATTAGGCAGTTGCTCACTTAGTTTTGTCATATATTGACAGTTGAATAACAGGTATGCATCTGCTGCCATAAAAGTCTCTGTCTCCTAGGATAGAACTTTCCTTATTGACTGGCATTGCAGTCTTTTTCATAGGCTTCGCTAAGACCTGAGTTTTTTCAGACGCTTCCCTGTAAGCACAATTTGTCTGGTTTAGAACAATAATTTGTGGACCAGGTGCTTTCCAGAGGCTGAGAGAGCCTAGGGTGGCTGGAAGAGACTAAGTGAGAAAAAGGGTGACATCCTTTGGGACTAGGGACATATACAGGCTCAGATCATACTGGGCTCTGGGAATCATGGTCAGAAATTTCATTTTGATTTTAAGTACAGTGGGAAACAGATGCAATATTTTATACAAGGGACTTAGTGTTCTGATTTATATCTTAAAAATAGACTTTTGGTGGCTATGTGAAGAATGGATGAAAGGGAACATGAGCTGAAGTGGGAAGTTGAGTAAGAAGGTTGTTTTACCCTCTGAATACCTTAAGTGTGTAAAAGTTCCTCCTGAAGGAAAAGCTAACAAAAGAAGTTTTACGGACTGAATGTTCATGTCTCCCTAAAAGTCATATGTTGAAATTCCAACCTCCAATGTGATGGTATTAGTAGGTGAGGTCTTTGGGAGGTAAGTAGGTTGTGAAGGTAGAGACTTCATGAATGGGCTTAGTGACTTATGAAAGGGACCCAGAGAGCTCTTTTTCTGTTCTCTGCTATGTGAAGATACAATAAAACGATGACCATCTGCAGACAAGGAATTGAGCCCTCAACAAACACCGGATTTGCGGGCACCCTGATCTCACACTTCCCAGTCTCCAGAACTGTGAGAAATAAATATTTATTGTTTTTAAGTTACCCAGTCTATGGTATATTTATTACAGCAGTCTAAACTGATTAAGACAGCAGGAAAACTGGTATTTCTGTCTAGATAAAGTAGGAACTTAGAAAAAAATTCTAGAATTCTTTCTACCTCCTCCCCAAAGTAAGTCTAGAGAGAAGATAAGAAGTAGTGGGAGAGACCATCAACACTTGAGCATTTTCAGATTTCCTTTTTTTCTTCTTTTTTATCTTTCTAAAATTCTTCCAAATATTTTAAATATTTAAATATTTTAAAGTCCATTTCAGTAGTGTTGACTCTGAGAGCCTGCATATCAGGCAAGTGTTTAAGATAATGAGACCTCTGTAGGAAATGATATATGGAAATATCCTCCTAGAAGAGTTGAAGAAGAAACTTTCTTTCTTTCCTTTCTTTCTCTTTCTTTTCTTTCTTTCTTCCTTTTTTCTTTCTCTTTTTCTTTTTCTCTCTCTTTCTCTTTCCTTCTTTCTCTTTCTTTCTCTCTCTCTTTCTCTTTCTCTCTCTCTCTCTCTCTCTCTCCCTCTCTCTCTCTCTTTCTCTTTCTCTCTCTCTTTCTTTCTCTTTCGACAGAATCTCACTCTGTTGCCCACACAAGAGTGCAATGGTGCGATCATGGTTCACTGCAACCTCTGCCTCCCACATTCAACCAATTCTCCTGCCTCAGCCTCCCGAGTAACTGAGACTACAGATGCCTGCTACTACCATGTCCTGCTAATTTTTTTGGTATTTTTAGTAGAATGGGGTTTTGCCATGTTGACCAAACTGATCTTGAACTCCTGACTATAGGTGATTTGCCTGCCTTGGCCTCCCAAAGTGCTGGGATTACAGGCGTGAGCCACTGTGCCTGGCCAAAAATCTTTTTGTTGACAGTGGATAAGCAGCCAGCTTTGCATCCCTCCCCACCCCAACCACAGCCCCTTTCACACTCAGCCCCAGAAGCTGGCAGGAACTGATAACCCTCCAGAGGGTTATCGGTAAAGCACCCATGGAGTGGCTTGAAGATGGCACCCCCTTGGGCTGAGAGCAGGTTTCTACTTGTCTGAGATAACGTGACTCGAGCTGCTTGACCAGGACAGAATGCTGGTTTCACATATGCCGTTCTTTTCCACACATATTGCTGAGCACTCCTTTGATTGCAAATGACAGAAACCCAACTTGAATTACCATAATGAAACAGGATATTTATTGTGAGGATAGAAACATGTCTCACGGAAACTAAGGTTGGAAAGACAACTGGGTCTCCAGAACAGTGGGAATTAGGTTCTTGAAAATCCTCTCCAACTCCCTGCATTCATTTTTGACCAACTTTATCTCATCACAGGAAATGTGGCTGCTGAACTCTCTCAGAGCTTTAGCCATGTAGAAGGGGGAGATCACGTGATTCTCTTATTCCAAGTCCAGAACTGCAAGAGAAGAAGCTTGTTGGTCCTGCTGGAGAAAGGGTCTTCCTCCTGGAAGTCATTTGTGCTGAGGCGGTGGCACTGGACTTATAGTGTGAACCCTACAGTACCATGGAGGTGGATAACAGGGGCAGCTATCTTAGGAGAGTTGAAAAAACAATTTTCTTCAGGAATCTCCAATTATTGCTAGAAGAGTGCTAGGTAAAAAGCCCCAAAGGCATCAACTACATAAGAGATTTTGTGAAAATTGATGAAAAGCAAGTTGATTACTGCCCAACCTAAACAACCAGAAAACAAGAAAACATTCAGTCCAAGGGGATATCTGAAAATCAAGAGAATCCACTGAATAATGAAAAAAGACTGGTATTAGATTTTTCTGTTAACTGTTATTTGGGTAAGCAACTATTTCAGAAGGGATTGGTTCCTTTGCTTTATCTCATTAAATGCGATGGTAATGCCTGCAGATTGCATCTTCCCACAATAAATAAAATACTGTATACATTCATGTAGCAAAGGTCTTCTTAGCCCTTTCCCTACCCTCTTCCCAATTCCTAATCTGCTATGTGTGAACTTTGAGGTAAGCCTGTTGGAGAGCCTTGGGGGAAATGGGGCACAAGTGCCACATGGTTAATGAGGACACTCCTGGTTTACTCGGCACAAAGGGTGTGTGAGTCAAAATTCTTCAGAGAAACAGAGCCAACAAGATGTGTGTATATGCAGACAGAGACAGAGACAGTGATTTATTTTAGGGAATTGAGTCATGTGATTGTGAAGGCCTGGTTAATCCAAAATCTTCAGGATAGGCCAACTGACTGGAAACTCAAGGAAGAGCTGCAGTTAGAGTCTGAAGGCTGTTTGCTGGCAGAATCCTTCCTCCCTGGAGGACATCCGCCTTTGTTCTATTAAGACATTCAACTATGAGGCCCACTCACATTATGGCGGGCACTCTGCTTTACTCAAAGTCTACTGACTTAAATGTTCATCCCATCCCAAACACCTTCTCAGGAATATCCAGAAGAACATTTGAATATCTGGCCATTGTGGCCCAGCCATATTTACACATGAAAGTAACAACCATCACAAAGGGGAAGTGGCAGACTACCAGGCAAGGCTGGAACAGAACTGGAAAGTAGAAAGTAGAAGTGGCAGACTACCAGGCAAGGCAAGAATGGAACTGGAAAGTAGAAATTCATGAACAATATCATGTCAGCCTAAGAAGCAGGGCGAGTGGTTCTTCAGACTTCTGGAGCCTGGAAATATTTACAGTTACAGTGGAAGAAGGAAAGAAACTGTGAGAGGGAGACAGATGGGGAAGGAAGAGCCTCCTAATGGCCATAGTAGGAACATTTCTCAACATAGCGATGGATTCCCATGGTGGAAAGAGTGACCATGTGGGTACATGTTGGAGAAATGACAAAAGCCTGAGAGGCAGGAGTGACAGTGGTGCCGGAGGTGTCCTCTTCCTGCCTATGGCAGAGTGGTGTGCATGTCTTACAACTCCTCCCTGTGGCCTGTTGCAGTCTGCATGTGAAATAGAAACATGCAGGCTGACTGTGGCCTTTAAGCTGTGTGGCATTGGGCCAGGAAAACCTTTGCAATGATTCTCAGAGGCCATGTAACAACATACACAATGTCAGATAACCTAGGAATGCTCTATTTCCAGGGCCAGATGGACATATTCAGGGAGACCAACAATTTAGTACTCTCTCAAACCAATATTTGAATGAGACTATTGTCCTATCTTTTTTGTTACTGTTGTTGGCATGGGAAGGAACTGAGTTTCCATGAAAAATTACATAGCCTGGTTTATTATGTTTGCTGTCTTCTTCTCAAAAACAACCCATTTGCATAAGCCCATTAGTAAACAATTTGGTGTTGGTTGAGGATTTTTGATTGGGGAATAGAGGAGGGATTCAAAAAAGGTGATTTCTCCTGCATAACCAGAAGATACTTTCTTATTATATCTTATGAATAAATGTGTTTCTTCCCTTATGTCTTTCTTGGGAATCTTGGTTGCCTCTCTCTTTTTCTCTCTGGTGCTTGGTCTTTTTGCCTCCTGACTGCTCTTTCCTGAATATTTACCTCCCTTCATGTCTGTATTTCTGCCTTTCTGACAAAGAGCAGTTTCACACCCGTCTAGCTCTATCTCCATCCAAGTTATGACTGGGGGAATTGGTTTAGTGAATGGGCTGGACTCTAGGGTATAATCCAGATACAACTTTTTCTTTCCTCACCACTATCTTCAAATGTGTGGCATCTCCCTTCCCTTCTCTTTTGGTGACACCGCAGATTCCCAACAAAGAAGTAAGAAGACTATTCCCACAGCAGTGGTGCAGATTTGTCACAACAAATGAAAAATTACATCGTGAACAGAGAAGCAGAGGGGAGAAGTCTGCTAAAAGCCACTCAAAAGTGAGAGATAAGCTAGGTTTGCAAAAGACAAAATTCCTTTTGCAAACTGTGCTGATCTGTAACTCACCAGATGAGATACCTGCAAAATTAGGCACTAGGTGCACAGCTCCAATTTCCACAGCTAGAATTTCAGAGGCATGGGCTTCATTGTTAATGAGGTTGACCTTTACCCAATAAATGAAGGTATTGATCTATGAATGATTTTTGATTTGGGAAAAATAGCTTTAATCATTTATTTGCTTAGATTTATGTTCCCTTCTCTTTATGTAACATCTTACTTCCCCATATCCACATGTTTCATGCCTCTTTCTTAGGATTAGTAAATGAAGAGCTTGATGGTGAACACTGATGCCTGCAGCTCACTGAGCAGAGCCCCCTCTCTCTCACTGAAGTTGATTCTGAAAGCAGACCAGGCCCTAATTATGACCACAAGCTCACTGCCTGCATCAGTGGTTCAGGGTGAGAAGTTACACCAAGAGCCAGCCTTAAAAAGTATCTTGTTGACTGAGTGCAGAGGGTCATGCCTATTATACCAGCACTTTGGGATGCTGAGGCAAAAGGATCATTTGAGACTAGCCTGGGCAACATAGTGAGACCCCCATCTCTACAAAAGCTTTAAAAAATTAGCTAGGTGTGGTGGTACATACCTTGGTCTCAGCTACTTGGGAGGCTAAGACAGGAGGACTGTTTGAGCCCAGGAGTTCAAGGCTGCAGTGAGCTGTGACTGCACTACTGCACTCTAGCCTGGGTAGCAGAATGGGACCCTGTTTCAAAGAAACTGTGTCTAACTACATTCCTGCTCTTCCCACTCTTGTTTTGTTTGATTGCTTCTATACTCTCATGATCCTCATTAAGAGAGAAAAGGCCTTTGCTGGCTCCTGTCTCATGATGCAGAAAGGTCTGGACTGGGGCACAAATTGATTTTTTGTGTAATAACACCAACCAAAACAATGGGATTTTGAAGATTTAATGAAATAATCTTATTAAGTGTAAAGTATTATATAAATGTCACTCAATTTAATTTTAATTTTCTGAGCTGCTGGCTTACAAGACTTAGGATTTTTTTTGGTGGGGGGGGAGGGAACAGAGTCTCGTTCCTTCGCCAGGTGCCAGGCTGGAGTGCAGTGGCACAAACTCGGCTCACTGCAACCTCTGCCTCCTGGTTCAAGCAATTCTCCTGCTTCAGCCTCCTGAGTAGTGGGACTACAGGTGTGCACCACCGTGCCCAGCTAATTTTTTTTTTTTTTTTTGTATTTTTAGTAGAGATGGGATTTCACCATGTTGGTCAGGATGGTCTCGATCTCTTGACTCGATTACTATTAATGTAATTGAGTACTTATAGTTATGTAATTGAGGGCATCTGATGACAACTTTAGGTGACTGCTTAGAACTTATCAAAATGCATACTTTAGAAGACGTCAGTCTATGTGTCTGTGTCTTTCCTAAGTATGAGTTGCTTATATGCATGCGTTTATTTGTAGACATACTGTAATCTCACTCCCGCCGTTTGTGAAAACAAAGTGACTTGAAAAGCTTTGCAAATAAGAAGTTGTAATTGTAGAGTTTTTAAAAGATTGACTTCAAAATGGAAATATATTTTATTTTCCTCTTATTAGGAAAATTTAAAAGCTCATAAAAGTCTCTAGTACTTGATAAAGTACAAGGAAAATGTTAGTAATTACCTATAATTCTCTAGTCAAGAGATTAGCTCTATTAATCTATAAATATATGGAATACTCTACATAAATTATGCACATATTTCTATTTCAATAAATAAACTTTATATATCATTTTTTATAATTCAGTTTGAAATAATTTCACATTTAAAGAACACCATATCCCTTTCATGCAGATTCCCCTGTATTAACATTTTACCATATTTGCTCCTTTATCCTCTCCATTTCTCTCTCTCTCTCTCTCTCTCTCTATCTCCCTCTCTCTCTCTCTCTCTCTCTGTGTGTGTGTGTGTGTGTGTGTGTGTTTATAATCTCCATCATCATTAGTATCTTTCTGAATCATTTTGACAAAAAGGTGCAAACATAGTGCCCTATCGTCTATCTATACATCCTCATTTGTGTACTCCCCCTAACCCCACACAAGGACACTTCCTACATTTCTACTAATCAACCTTCCCAATCAAGAAATTAACATTGATCTTACATTACCCTCCTATCCACAGACCCCATTTAAGTTTCCTCAATGGTCTCTGTAATGTCTCTTTTCCCTTTCTGAACCCAGGCCACACTCCAGAATCAGGTGCTGCATCTAGTTGTCATCTCTCCAGTTACTTTCTAACCAAAACAGCTCCTAATTCTTTCCCCATCTTACATGGCCTTTATGTGTTAACTTCTGTACTCTGTCTTTAATTCTGTATTCATTCTGTATAATTTCCCTTTATCTGAGCCTGTCCAGTGATTCTCCATGCCCAGACCCAGGCCATGCATTCTTGGTGGCAATGCTGAAGACATGATGCTCTCCTTTTCCTAGGGCATCACATTAGTGGAGAGCATGATTCAAATTTCACACATAAAATTAATATGCATCCTACATCACCATCCTACAGTCATGATGCAAAGCTCGATCACTTCATGTAGTGGATGATCTGGCTCCCAAAGATGTCCTAGCCTTAAACCTAGCAACCTGCAAATATATTATCTTAAATTGCTAAAAAGACTTTGCAGATGTATCAAAGACTTTGAGAGAAAAAGATGATCCTGGATTTTCTAGGTGAGTATAATCTAATCACATTAGTTCTTTATAAAGAACAAAGACTTTATTAAAACTACAGAGAGCTAGAGAGGCAGCAGGGTGAGAGGAACTCAGCCCACCAATGCTGGCTTTGAAGATAGAGGAAGGAGGCCATGAGCTGAGAAACAAGGGCAGCCTCTAGAAGCTGGAAAAGGCAGAGAAATGGCTTCTCCCCTCTAGTCTCCAGGAAGCAACAGTCCTGCCAACACCTTGATATTAGTCCAATGAGACCTGTGAAGATAATGAATTAGTATTGTTTAAGCTGCCAAGTGTGTGGCATAATTTGTTATGGCAGCAATTGAAAGTTAATACACATGGTCAAAATGACTGAAAGGCACTGAAATGGACGGGGCTTATCTGGGCGTAAAAGGTTAATAGGAGAACATCCTCCTTCTGTTGTGTCTGATCATATGCTTGAGAACAAGGGCTTGGCAATAGTCAGAAACCAAGGGAGTTCTAAAATGCCAACAAATGGGCACTAGAAAATATAGTACAGTAACACTTTCATTCTTGGACTTTACCTCACCAAACCTATGCACAATAGGGAATGGCAACTTTTCAAGAAGTTAGGGAGAAGAAGCAGCTAGAACATCAAAACAATGAACAAACAAACCAACAAACAACAAGCCCAAATAAACCAAAGCCAAACCAAACCAAAAACAGATATGCACCTCACCAAAGGAGTTTAGATTTTATCCTGAAGACCTCAGAGAGATTCTGGAGCACCTTAAGCATTTCCATCCAGCTTCTCCCAAAATCTGTACACTAGCTTTCCATTTTTAAATGTAGCCTCCGATTGTCTCATGGATCCTAGTTCCACACTCAAATTCCAGACCAGTAGCAACCCTGATTCCTTTTGTATCCTTTCCTTCCTTTTTTCCCCCTCCTTCCTCCTTCTCTCCCTTCTTCTGTCTCTTTCTCTCTCTTCTTCCCTCTCTCCCTTCCTTCTTCTTCCTTCCTCCCTCCCTTCCTTCTCCTCCCACCCTCCCTTCCTTCCTCTCTCTCTCTCTTTCTCTCTGTCCTTCTTTCTTTCTCCTTCCTTCCTTCCTTTCTTTTTTCTTTCTTCCTTCCTTCCTTCCTTCCTTTTTCCTTCTTTCTTTCTTTCTTTCTTTTCTTTTTTCTTTCTTTCTTTCTTTCTTTCTTTTCTTTCTTTTCTTTCTTTCTTTCTTCTTTCTTTCTTTCCTCTCTCTCTCTTCTTGGTCTCTTTCTTCCTTCCTCCCCGTCTCTCTTTCCTCTCTCCTTCCTTTCCCTTCCTTTTTTTGTCTCTTCTCAGTCATTATGAAAAATAGTGCGTGTTCCTAGAAAGTTCTCCAAGCATGTGTTTCTGATTTTCCTGACATGTCTCTGTGCTTACTGCCCTCTCTGCCTGAGTTTTCCCCACTCTACCACCACCAAGCCCATGCCTGGAAAACTACCACTTACACTTTACCACGAAGGCTAATTCTCTGGTCTTTCTCTAAGTTCCTAGGGTGGATCACTTTCTTCTTTGAGATACTACTGTATCTTTCCTATTTCCCAGCTATAACACTGTGTTGACATTATTTCTCCCTCTTCTCCATTTTCTTCTATCAGACCCTAAGCTCCCTTTCAAAATGTATGCAGAGTGGTTTCACATTATGTCTGCCACATAATAGATATTGATTGAGTGAGTGAAGGAGACTGCCAAGGACACTTTCTGGAATTTGCTGAGATTGGTGTGTTCTACACATACCATTCATCCTATGAAATATAAGATGCCAGTCATCTTCCTAATGCACAGTGATGCTGTCAGCCTAGGGTGGAATTGGCCAACACCATGCCCTGGCCAAGATACACTAGTTCTATTCAGACCCTTCCTGTGCCCAGGCTTCTGCAGGGGCCAGAGGGCAGCAGCAATTCTCGGGAGGGTCAGGAAGTGGAAGCTGAGCATGGCCTTTGGCACCATGGAGTAGAAGAGTGGGAGGCTGAGAATCCTCCCCAGGGAAGTGGCAGGAGATAAGCCCTCCTGTGGACTAAGGCTCCAAGCCACCAGCATGCACTCCATTGCCTAATTAGCCTTCATTTCAAAAACACAAATTCAAAGATAAAATGGAGAATTTCAAGATGATAACCACAGAGTGTTATGGGGCCCTTGTGAATGTGAGGCCCTGTGAGACTGCACTGTGGCATGTTCCTGTAGCTGGCCCTGGCTGGAAATGTGTGAAAGGTTATCCAGCCTAGCCTTCATCTGTTGCTTGGGTCTGTTTCTTGTGCTGAGTTTTCTTGCTTCAGCCTTTGATTTTTGATGCATTATACTTCATCTTAAAACACAGCTTTCTTTTCCATGTCAGTAATTACTTTAATAATTCCCTGTGTCTGAAATCTTCCATAGAAAAAGTGGAATATGAGGTGATTGTAAAAGATCCATTAAAGTGCAAAGGGCCAAGAAAAAAAAAAAGAAAAAGCAGAATAAATGTACTGTCAATTTTCAGGGATAGTGTATTGATATTCTTAAACAACAAAAAATACTGCTTGATTGACTTTAACTGGATTGAATTAAATTTTGTCTCCAGAATTCCCCACCCTTTGTTTTGATTCTCAAAGGCATGATTTAATTCTCTAAGGGAACTCTTTTGACTTACTAGCTTTCATGGTTTATTTTGAGTGTAAAATTAGGTCTCACAATTGTTTGCAAGTCTAGGTCTGAGGAATGAGAATATTGTAGGTTGATGTCCTACTTGGAAAAACACACTTCAAACTCCCAAAGAGGTGGATATGAGTTTTTTGTTGGTTGTTTTTATTTTTCAAGATTTGTGATAAACAGTGGAGCTTTATAATCCTACTGAAAACATTTTGGCCTCAGATGGACTAATTCCTGTAAAGTCTCTCTTCTAGAAATTTGTACGATATGATTTTCTTAAAACAGTACCTTGAAATCATAACTTCTCATGGCACAGCTGGTACACTTTGTTCCTGGCTTCAAAGAAAATTATAATCTTAGGATGTGTCCAATACCTCTTAAAATACACCCTGACTCATCTCTCAGGCTCCAGGCCCCGTATTTCACTGTAAATCCGGTATCTAAATACACAGGTTGAAGTCTCAGGGGATGTGAACTTGGTTAGAGTCAAACTCTACTTAAAATATGCAATCGCCACTGGCTTTCCTTGTTTATTTCTGAGAGATTTCTCATTCATTCAACAAAACTGGGTTGGAAGTAATGGTGAGGAACTCATCAGCTCAAGCCATGTAAATGGGAAAAAAATGGGGAATGGACACTTTGAGGGCCAGTAAGATAGACATAAAGCATATACCCCTGGATAGGGCTGTTTTCCATAAACTTAATCAGGTCTAGAAGTAATTCTCTACTGCTCCCAGTCTCCACTTGCCCAGACATCCCAAAGAACACCTTGTTTCACTTGCAGAGTTGATGGAGGGGTACAGTAGCTGAAATGGTGTGGCATTGGAAGGTCACAATGACAGAAGGAGAAAGGGGGGTTCAAAAAGGCTGGTTGGCATGCCCTGATTCAATGGTGTGCTGGAGAAGGCTTGTATTAGCTTAAGAGAGCTGATTCTTAACTACATTGATGACCTGAAATTGGCCATGAAAATCACTATATACTACCAATCAAGTCTCATCTGTCCCCCACCTCAAAGTTGACTGGCAGGTCACTGATATTAAGCTTACACTGCTCTCTAGAAATGTTCTCTGGCTCCCTCTCGTTGCCTGTGGCACTTCCTTTTTGATGTTCTTGTGGCCCTTGCCTCTATTTGTCATCATTATGTATATACATGCCCGATTCATGGCCATATGGGGCCACAATGTCTAGCATTTAGCTGATGCTTGACAAATGTCCCTTGTATCAATGGGCACATAAAATGCATATTTTTCAGGTGTACATTAAAACTAAGAAAAGATTGATCTTTGCTAACAGAATTTTTTTGTTTATATAACATTTAGTGAGCTCCTATCCTGTAATTGTACTAGGCTCTGGGGATTTACCAAACAGCAAGGCATGCTTCTTTTATTAAAGAAGAACATGGTTTACTGAGGAAGACATGTATTGCTTTCTCTTTGTATTAATATGTCCTTCTGTCTGTTTCTACATGTTTTTTACATGTTTTCCTTAGTTGGTTTGCTAAGTTATGATGAAACTCCAATGTGTACAAGTTTATATACAGAATAAGATCCGAAGGGCCACATACCAAAACATTAACGGTTTACTTCTGATGTGCAGATAGGTTAGGAAAACATAATATTTTTTGTTTGTACTGTGTATACTGTTTGAGTTTTTTGAGTACATACTATTTTATACTTAAAATATCTAAGAATAATTTTTTAAAACTTGTATAGTTAATACAAATTCAAGAATGTGAAGTGGTGGGGGCATAAGGGAGTTGGGGAGAAGTTTCAGGGTGAAACTGTTCCACCTCAGATCATCAGGCAGTAGGTAGTTTCTCATAAGCAGCGTGCAACCTAGATCCCTTGCATGCACAGCTTGCAGTAGGGCTTGTGCTCCTATGAAAGTCTAATGCCACCACTGATCTGACAGGAGGGAAAGCACAGGTGGTGATGCTTACTGGCCATTTATTTACCTCCTGCTGTGAGGTCTGTTTCCTAATGGGCCACAGACTGGTACTCCATGGCCAGGGGACTGGGGACCCCTGCTGTAGGGAATGAGAATCACCTGGAGATTTTTAACCGAAGGATGATGAGATTCAATCTATATTTTTGGATGATAACAGCTAAAATGAAGAACGAGGTTGCACTGGTGAGAGGCAGACTGAGCCTAATGATAGATTATCATTTGGTCTTTATATAACAAGACTGTTTCTCTACCTAGTTTTGGGTGGAAATAACTTGCACTGGGAGTTCCTAGGGTGTGGTACACAAGTCCTTATGTGGCTATAAGAACAGACAGTCCAGACACTCAGTCTCTTCTTCTTTCAGCTCTAATGTCATTGCTCTCTTGTATCCTAGAATCTGATAAGTGTTGGCAAGGCAGAAATTCTGTCTTGTTCTGAGTCATGTGGGTGGACAATGGTGGTGAAGGAAAGAAAGCTCCTAGCAGCGGCTGGCCTTGCTGGAAATACAGAGATGGAAGTTCTCTGTTCCAAGGATATTTAATGGTGTCAGGATATAGGCCACAAATTGTCATTCGAGGGTGGCCTGGCTTATACTGGGTAGCACTGGCTTCAAATCAACTGACCTTTGAGTTATAAAGATGTCAGTTCCTTCATGTGGTGACTTTCATATGTGTTAATCTCCTGTAGGGTGGGTTCAGGTAAAATGAATGAAAGATAGGTGAGAATCCATGGGATACCACCCACTGGATGTGAAGCACCTCACATGGGGTGAAGTGACATGTTAGATCCCTCCAGCAGAAGAGGCAGGCAGGGAGGTAAAGCACGATTTGGTATTGATTTGACTCTGCCTGCTCTTGTTGCTAAACACTACGTGCTTTCCAGGAACATGGAAGTGGTGCTGGGTGAAACCTCTGCCTTGACAGTCTTTTCCTGATCTGAGCAATTCTTAGAGGGGAGGTCACTTCCTGTCCATTGTTCAGTTGAGATCACTTTAGACCATAAGTCTGAGGTCCTGTTTATCATCCATAGAAATGGTTCTCTTTTATTTATTTATTTTTTTCATTATATACCCAGCCAGGTCCTAGCATAGGCCTTCCCAAAAACAATGGGTCAGGACCAGTTCTAGTGTCTTCCACATCTTAGAAATTAAACCACCACCTCATTTTCTGTTTCTAACTGAAATCTAGGGCCTATCTGCTGGCTTCAGGTCTTTCTACCTTGGTGGTAACTCTAATTTGAATATTTTGTTATGCTCTCTGTCCCTGTAGCTTGATTGGTGTTATTCTGAAAAGATCTCAACTCATGCATTTATTTGTTCAACAGGTACTGGATTTTTTGAGTGCTAATGTGAGTCAGACACTGTGTGAGGCATCGGGAATATGATAGTAAACAAAGAGAACCTTGGGCCTGCCATAATATTGCTTAAAGCCAAGGGTAGGATTGAAATATTAAACGAAGAATAACGATGTAAATGCAAAGCCACAACTGTAATGGGCAATGATGGAATGCTACAAGGTAAAATTACATGAAAGGAGAATCATCTAGTAAGGAAAGTCCGCGGAGGCTTCCCTCAGGAAGTGATAACCCCACCAAGCTCTTCCTTTAAGAGTAGAAGGGCCTAGGTTTCTGGGCAGGTCGCTTTACTTCCTACTAGGAAGTGAAGCAATATTTCCCAGGTCACACCAAAAAATGAGAGGTAAAGGGGTCCCATTAGACTGTAGCTCTAGTTCTAGTTCTATGGGACTTACCCATATTCACATTACTGAGGGATACTCAAGTGACTCTTTGAAGGACAAAAAGATAAGCTTCTTCAGAATAAAAAGAAAGCCAATAGATATACCCTGCTAAATGTATTAAAATGTCACTTAATATTTATAGAATATCACTGAAGTGTAGAGTCCCTTCCCGACACTTAATCTTGAGGGGCCAAATAGCCATTTTCCACTTACTTTAGGTACTTTCCCTGCTCTGAGGGTCCTGTTCTATAGCCAGCCTGCTAAAGCCTGATTCCAATCACTGTCTCCAATTTTCAAGGTCCTTTAGGATCTTTGAACAGTAATTATTTCTTTTCTCTTCACAAAGAGACTTTCTATAAATTGCCTGTGACTAGAATTGATTCAGATATTTAGGTATAATGCTGAAGAAATGTTGAGGTGTAAATATAGTTGTTAGGTGACAAATTCTGCTTTCTGAAACTCCCAGGATGGGATTTCCAGCCATAAGCAAGGGTGCCATTTGGCATTTCTGGGTGGGGAGCCTGACTGACAAGCTCACTTCTCAGGAACAAGGAGCACCCGCCACCTGGCATTCGTTATTAGCAGCTGTGTGATTGCACCCCATGGTGACATGACACAAACTTCTCTTCAGAATTCCCCAAGCTAAGAGGAGATTCATGAGTCAGGATGTTGGGAACCGCACAGGCAAGTACCTTGGTTTTTGAGGAAAATTTGTCTGGCTTATGAATCACAAAAATAAGTGCCACATATTTAGGAAGAGGTACCAGGTTGTGTGGATGTGGAGAAATTGAAATATATACAAATATACATACACCAACTCCTTCTTCTCCAAAGAGACCCCCTCAAAATGATGACTTCCAGAGCACATGAATGAAAATGATTGCAATGAGTTTAAAATAGTTAACACTATTTTGCAAGTCATTAAATGCTCTGCAAGTTATAACCCAGTGGACTCACAAATTAAACAGGGCTGATTGATAATAAAACAACAAATTAAGCAACATATGGGAGTATTTGACTGTTGTTCAGAAATTAACCAACTCTAACATGTAGGAGTAATTAAAATAATTCCGCCGGGCGCGGTGGCTCACGCCTGTAATCCCAGCACTTTGGGAGGCCGAGGCGGGTGGATCACGAGGTCAAGAGATCAAGACCATCCTGGTCAACATGGTGAAACCCCGTCTCTACTAAAAATACAAAAAAAAAAAAAAAAAAAAAATCAGCTGGGCATGGTGGCGCATGCCTGTAATCCCAGCTACTCAGGAGGCTGAGGCAGGAGAATTGCCTGAACCCAGGAGGCGGAGGTTGCGGTGAGCCGAGATCGCGCCATTGCACTCCAGCCTGGGCAACAAGAGCGAAACTCCGACTCAAAAAAAAAATAATAATAATAATAAAAATAATTCCAAAATAATGGAGCTTATTAATGTTGGAAACCTGAAGAGACAATCCAACTGTATTTATTTAAAATACTTATGTTTTGTACTTATGTATTTTTTTCATGTCGATGGTTCCTTGTGAGCATCAATACAACCTTTTTTTCTTACATGTTGACATGACTTTATTTCTTGCTTTTGATTATAAACAAAACATGTTCATCATGAGTAACTCAAAGAGGTATAGGAAGAGATATAAAATTAGAAGGAAGTTCACAGGGAAATTCCAACTGAGATAATTATTGTAAAGAATTGTGTCAACATCCTTGCAGATGAGAGGCATATATGCCGTAGATATCACTTTAATAATTTTACCCTTGCTACAAAGTTAAGACATTATAGTATATGCATAGTTGATTCCCTTTTCTCCTATTCTCTGGGAAGGAAATTTAGTCCACTTAGCATATTCTTCTTTCTTCACCTTATTTTTCGGATTGTGGTAACCAGTGAAGAAAAAAAAAAAGGAAGAAGGAAGAGGGACAAAAGAGAAGTGGCTGATCTGTTTGGGTATCATTGTGATGTCTTTGATTGAGAGTAGAAAAGAGTATTGGGGAAGAGAAAGCCTTCAGGAGCTAGTAAAATGTGAGAATTAGAGAACAAGATTAAAGAGGTGGGATACAGAAGCTATTTTAAGATGCGGTGGTGTGGGTTAGGAATTGTAGGTTCTTTAATGTTTTCTGAAAATGGAGAGCTAAGGCTGAAATTGCTCTGTAATGTCTTTTTGTTGCTGGGCCGTTTCTGTGAATGTGATACTGTGCTGAATTAAATCACAGTGAATCTGGAATTTATTTGATTTACACATAAATGGGATTATATCAACCATACTGCTTTGTAATTCCTTTTGTCTTGAAAATATGTCATGGAGCTTCTATTTGAGTCAACAAATATGACATACGATTCTTTTCAGTGGATGCATAGAGTCTCTTGCATTAACACTTCACATCTTTTTGAACTAGTCTCATGTTGGTGGACGTTTTGGTTGTTTCTAATTGTGATGAACATCTTGTGTATACTTGTATATTTATGTAACTGCTTCATTGGGATAGATTCCTGGATATAAATTTTCTGCATCAAATGATATGTACATTTTAAATTTTATTACATAATACCAGCAAAGAGTCATGCTGATTTATATTCCTCTCACTGTGTATTAAAGTCCTATATCCACAAAAATCTCATTTTTATCATTTCTTATTAGTTGGAAAAGATTAGCACAATTTTGACAACATATTTACAGTATACATATGAAGAAACTGAAACCTGGAGAGATTGAAAGATTCTTGCCTAAGGTGTTAGAACTGAGATAGTTCTAGTTTGTTGGCCTCTTTAGAGGTGTCATGTTCCTGGAAGAGCCAGATGATAATACATCTGTCAGACTTTACAGAAACCATCCACAGGGAAAAGGAAGATACTTAAAACTGGCAAATGAAACAATTTCCAGTTTAATCTATCTGTGTAACAAGGGCATACACACCACTGTGACAAGATGATGTGTGTAAAAGTACTTTGTAAATCACTGGAGATTGAGGCACTGTTTGGAAAAACAATCACCCCTTTCATCTGGATAATTAGGACTGTGTATTTTAGCTAATAGACAGGAATTATAAATGTTGCGGTTTGACCTTGTATTCGAGTGTCATTTTTATCACCCAATAGCTAAATTCCTAGTAAATGAAGCATTTATTATAAAAATGTGCTGACACAGTACTAAATCTGGATCACTTGTCCTTGCTCTAACCTGATGATTAAAGGCCAGAATGTCCGATTCTGTACTGTCTCATCGCAATTGTATTACAGACAGTGCTCTTCCGCTATTAATCCATGGCCCCAGGTTGCCTCTGATCTTGGCCCAGGAGGCCAATTGACTCCATGATCATTTATACTCATTTTGTCTCTAGAAACACTGATCCAGACAGCACTTTTTGAGTTTACTTTACTTAATCCGGTCCTACTAGACTCTTAAGGATTTCAGGCACCAGAACAGCTATGTTTAACCTTGTCCGTTAAGTCCTTAACCAAGAAACCCATCTGAATTGGCAATGTTTCTGAAAACACAAATGAGGGTAAATTACAAATGGAGGAAGCATCTGGATTAAAATAAACTGCCACCAGACAAAAGCTATCTCCTTCCTTTTTTTTTTTTTTTTTTGTAAGAGAAACAGGTTATTAGCTTTAATCTTATTTTTAAGTAAAATTTGCTGTCCTAGTCTTTTTAAAAGCACTTGTCTCAGAATTTCTAATTAGCAATAAGAAGGAGTGGGCCCAGTTATCTGCTTGTAGTAATAAAGATCCACATTTATCTTCTGCAGTTCTGCCTTTGGTATTCTTACTTTGAACTGGAATAGCACAGGAAAAGTGGATTGAGGCCTGTGCAATTGGAGCATGACTTGTGTTGCCTGGTTACTGGTACTCTCCAGAGATTAGATTGTCAGGGTATTTAGATGCACAGAAAAGCAAACAAACAAACCTCCTACCTTCCTGGTTATTCTTTTATGAGGACAGGGCGCTTCTAACATTGGAAACCTAGATGAGGTGGGGGGAGAAAATAGTTTCTATTAGCAGAAGATGATGAATAGTAATTATCTTCAACAATGTCAGGTGGTCTCACCATTTGTGAGGCACGGTCAGTGGAAAGTGACCACGTTCAGTATGAAGAGTTTCGTATTGCTTTAATCCCGGGGACCCTCAGATGATGCTGCACAGGCCTGCTGATCTTCAGAAGCTGCCCTGTGCATCTGAATAAAAGAAAAAAACCTTCTAAGCCACCATTGGTTTTGAAAGAAGTAAAATAGAAACAGGTTTTTAAGTATCCCTAAGGAGGGCACTATAGGATTTGTATTGGAAATGGATCTGAAGATTTAGGAGAGACTAGAAGATTAGAAACGCAGCGAGGTCAATTTGCTTCCACCAGCTAGTTTGAAACTAAGTGTTGGTCACATTATCTGCTTTTAGCTCCATGTCATCATTGCCCTTCTCAGTATTATTATTCTCTAAGTCACAGAATGTTTTCCTGAATCCCTTTCCAGTAGGATTCTGATTTAAAGCTGCCAGTAGGAGGAATTTATTGAGATTTGAAAAGTGGAAGAGAAGGAGAAGGTGTCTTTTTTCCTTGTAACAGCCTTGGCTGGGGAGCTGAGATCTTCATTGAGGGCTTCCTTTGGCTCTTGGTTCCTGTGGACTGGCAGCCGATGTCATCGGTGGTGGTTTTTCTGTGATCACTACACCTCCAGGTCTCCTAAAGTGACCTTCTTGACCTTTGCCTCCCCAGCTCTTTCAATGGTTATGTGAAACTCTAATTATGTACATTAAATATCTTTCAGCTCAAAATACATAGAATCACTTCTGTCCCCACATACTGAGTAATTCTGAATGACATAAATGCCTAGGCATGAAGGCCCAAAACCTTGGTCACCTATGTTGATAAATCTGAATTTTGATTACCACCAAATTATAGACCAATATATGTCTTACAGACATCAAAAAATATATGGTATAATTTCATTTTTATAATGTTCAACAGCAAACTAATTTGTGATTTTAGAAGTAATTATACATGTTTATATTTGGAAAAGGCTGAGCAGGGTGGGGACTGGATGGGCCATGAGAGGGGCTTGAGATGCTAGTTATGTTTGATTTCTTCATCAAGGTTGTGCTTATGTGGTTGAGTTCTTTTTGTGATAATTCATTAATTATAAGATCATTATAATATGTCACTTTTCTTTATGTATGTTAAAATTTAATAGAAAATTTATTTTAAAAAATTTAGGGCTGCTAGGAAATTTTATTTTCCTTGCGCCAATCCTAAAATGACAATTTAATTGTCGAATCCAATCTTGCTCTTTGACAGATGATATGAGACAGCAGATATAAGTAATCTGCTCAGTGTCAACCTTCAAGCCCAGTTTTCCATCCATTTATAACCTGGTTTAATGTGAGAATTTTAAAAATCAATTTCCTCATTATCTTTTTTCCCCATATTTTTCTGTTTATAGTCAAATGGAAATAAACTTTGCATGAAAATAGATAGGAAGATTGACTCCAAGCTATTTTGTCGTCTTGAGCATTACTTAAGAAATGTCAAAGTCTCTAGTGAAAAGATATATGAGTAATATCGGTAAAGAATGTGCCAAACTTGCCAAGGTATTTAGCATTTAGGAGAAGAAAGCAGAGGAGCTGCTTTAGCAGTAAATTGGATGTGGCTGTAAATCAAGCAAAAAAAAAAAAAAAAAAAAAAACACATGTTGTAAAATGTCACCAAGAAAGGTAAATTGGATATTGCTTAAAAACTCACACAACTTTTGTCCACTTGTTCATTTCCCACAGCTTCTGCTACCATTGAGCTGACTAGGTAGTCGTCCCTAAATTCTTTAGCCCTAAGGGACCCATCAGCTCAGCATTACTTTGCCTGCTGTTCTTCCCCAGAGAATATGTTCTTTCAGGGCTGACTTGTAAAGGCCCCTCAAGTGAACCCTACATTATAGGGAGTTCCACCGAAAGAGGCCTACTTCCCAGAGAGCTGAGGATTTTATAGTTAACAAAGGACAAGTAGGTTCTTTCTGCAGAGTGCTTCTCCCACCTCCCCCTGGCCCTACCACCAGGGCCCAAATCTTAATATATTTTAGGATATTCTGGGTCCATT